AAGGCCAGGGGGAAATTTGGCCAGGACGCTGGGGTTACACCCCTACTCTTTTCGAGAAACGCCCTGGGATTTTTAATGACCACAGAGAGTCAGGACCTCGGTTTTACACCTCATCTGAAGGACGGCGCCTGTTTACAGTATAGTGTCCCTGTCCCTGTACTGGGGCATTAGGACCCACATGGACCACAGGGTGAGCGCCCTCTGCTGGCCCCACTAACACCTCTTCCAGCAGCAGCCTTAGTTTTTCCCAGGAGGTCTCCCATCCAGGTACTGACCAGACTCACACCTGCTGAGCTCCAGTGGGCTGACAGTTGTGAGTTGCAGGGTGACGGGGCTGCTGGCAAAATGAGTCATTTTAAAAATGAGTAAGGAGATAGAAAAAACTGTCTATCTAGTTGGCTTATTGATGGCTTACTGTAAGTTTCAAAAACAAAACAGCCAGGTTCTGCATTAAATCTTGCACACTAAAGGCAGCGCGCTGGTGTCCGGGCGGGACTGCAAGACCATGCGGCCGAGAAGACCTGAGGAGAGTGGGATCCGTCCAGCGCGAAGCCCGGCTCCGACGGACAGTACCTGCAGGCTGTCCAGCTGGCTGATCTGGGAGTAGGGCAGCCCGGCGCGGTAGGTCTCGGTGGTTTTCCACCACAGAGGGATCCCGATCACGATCGCCACCGCCGCGATGGACAGGGCCGCGTTCTGCCCCCGCCGCTTCTCTGGGGAGGAACAGAGCGCGCAGCCGGTGATCTAGCAGAAGATGAATCTGTTGAATCTGTTTTAATACTGTGGGGTTTCGCGAGGCTGCACAACAGGCACCTGCCCGATGAAGCAGTTACCTTCCAGTCCTGCCCTTTTAAATAATCACTTACCAAGCTGAAAACGACAACGAAAGAATGGGATCGAAAACGCTTTATAAACCTAGATCTGTTTATAATCACACAATCATTTGTATTTGTTACAGCAGCCTATCCTGTATTTTAATGAATCACCCAGATCTCACAATGTAAGGAAGCTACGGTTGCAGTGTACGTACAGTGTACTTTATACAGAATACTTCTTGAAGCAGCTAACGGATTTTAACCATATCAAGTTAGCTTTTCATTTGTTTCCGCATTTAGCTGGCTGTACATGAAAAATTAATTCATGTTAACATTTCAAGCATTTAACTCGGTTTCTTCAGCTCACCCACAAGCGACGCATCCATGTCTCCGGGAAAACGACCAAGCGATTGATTGGCTGCAGCCCTATCCAATCAGAGGCCGGCCTCGACCAGTCTCGCCCAATCACCGTCACTTAAACACTGTAAGGGGTGGGGTTTGTGATGCGGAAGTAAAAAGGCAAAACCGGTTAGGTACGGTGTGAGGAAAAGGACAAAAGAGATACGGATTGAATTTATAAACGCTAAATTGAAAATTATGCTTTCATTATTTCATTAAGATTATGCACCTGGAATATCCCACTTTTCCGTCTTTTAGTCAATCAGAAAATATCTGTAAATTCTAACAAGAAACTGCTATTGCATATTGTGATAGTTGAATATGATTGTACATCAGGTGTCTTCAATCCTGCTCCTGGAGAGCTACAGTCCAGTTAATTTAGGGTCACCTATTTCTAAAGATTGCAAACTAATGATGACCTTACAAGTAATCCTTTTAATTAGTAGTATCCTGACCCTAATCCAAATATTGAATCACAAAAGATCTTAATTTACTAAACAAATCAGTTTTAATTGAGCACAGTTGATTCTAGTCTCTAGAAAGTGGTGATTTTAATGGTTACTTCTACAAACTCCTGCCTATGGGATCATCAGAATTGGATCTGGACAGTCAAACTGTACACTAAGAAAGCTCACAGATCTGTATTTGTATTTGTGCAGATCTCACACTTGATTGTTTAATAAATACAAGATGGATTTCTCTGCCTTGAATTGTTCTGGGAAAATAATTTCAAAATAAAGGGGTCTCTAACAGTAGAAATGATCTATAAATAGAGGTTCTATTAAATATTGTACATAACGGAGATTAAATCTGGAGTTAGCACACATGCACACAAAGATCAGTTAAGTGGAAGTAACTCAAAATATAAAGAAAAAAGAGCATAACAATGCACTATCTGTGAAAATCTTGACAGTGGATATTTGAAAGACTGTACACTATAAAAAAAAGCTTAGTCAGGAAAAAAGGCCCTCGATCTATATTCTGGATTAAAATTCCATGACTTGCACAGAAAAAAACATACATTTAACTGAAACAAACTCATTGACCCAGCTTTTTGATTTTGATTAGACACTAATGACAGCACCGATAAATCAGGACTATGCAATTCTTGTCCTTGCGGGAAGGTAACTGCAGGTACTCCATGTCTTTCAAGTTTTAGCACCTGAAAGAGCTGAGGGAAGTTAAACCGGATCAACTCAGCTGGTAACAAGACAATTTAGCTTCGCGAGAGGTGAAATGTGATGTAAACCTTCCAGGCCTGGGATCAGACAGCCTCGGTAAATGATCAATG